GTGTAACTCAAAACATTGTCCGCTGGAGTACCCCCGGTACGGTATATATTTCCGGTCACATGTTGTTAATCAATAACCATAGATTTGAATCGGCTCCAAAAAATCACAGAGAAAACCCATGAAATCCTGTTCCATGCTTCACTTTACAGCTCCACGAATTATTCACTGATGAAGATCCTTAGTGTGTCGATTCTCTTCGCTGCTGTCCTAGCAACTTGTACAGGTACGTCTGTCTTATCTTTATGTACTTTTTGTCTGTGTGCATAGTTAACTATCCTGTGTGTAATACAGCTCCTTTGAAATATCACATCTATATGGTTTAGATGTACATTGTCGACGAACTAAGCTTTTAAGAGATGTAAGGTTCGGTTTCTTAAGTGCAAAATAGGTATTGACAAAGAAGTGCCGAATTTATCTCGGGGACTTCAGTAACGTGATCGAACATAGCACGTATTTTGTTCAAATTACGAATGCAAAAAGCACTGCTCCAACGCAACCATTCGGTGAGTCATTGGCATGGAGAAATTTGCATACAAAAATAATAAGTGTGTACATCACTTCATGTATAAACAGAACTTGAAACCTATATGAGAGACAATTTGTAAGTGTATCCTTTATAAAAATCGTTGTACAAGCGAGAATATTCTTCGACTTACGATCGAACATAGCACGTATTTTGTTCAAATTACGAATGCAAAAAGCACTGCTCCAACGCAACCATTCGGTGAGTCATTGGCATGGAGAAATTTGCATACAAAAATAATAAGTGTGTACATCACTTCATGTATAAACAGAACTTGAAACCTATATGAGAGACAATTTGTAAGTGTATCCCTTATAAAAATCGTTGTACAAGCGAGAATATTCTTCGACTTACGAATATAAATACTGTACCGTAGAGAGAAAATTTATGGTTATTATAGGCTTCTCTTTAATCTGGCTTCGATATAGAAGAAGCAAGAGGGTAAATTTACACGCGACAGATCAGGGCAGGTGAGAGCTGAGAATCAGCAAGGGAAACCTGAAATAAAGCGCGTGCGATATTATGAAAAACATGATTTTTCTGAAGGTTAATAAAACTTATGAAGATCGTGTTCTTCAATGAAAAGCGAAACAATAAGCCAATACTCAAGAGAGTTCAGTCTTTGAAGTCAATAAAGACTGAAAGTAGAGCGGTGTTCCTTGTAGTTTTTGATATCATTCCTGCAGAGCACGGTGGGTACTTTTGTTTACAGTTCAAACTTTGAAAGAAAAAGTCTTTGTAAGTTCCTCTCTCTCCACGAAGGTGAAATGAAAATCATTTAAAATTAGCTGCGTTATCCTTAGAAATCGCTCATTTCATCATGTTAATTCATTTTTGCGTGCTGACAATAACTAACAAGCATTTCGTAACTCCTGATTGAGCAATAAGCCCCATCAAGAGAATTTTGCTCAAAGGCATGCCAACCTGCTTAACAATACACTAGACTGATTGGAACTGATTACGGAAGCTCTAACCTCGATGACATTTTAAGTAGTTAAGAGTAGCNTAAGTGAAATGCTAAGCGATAGGTAATCAATATACGCATTTTGTGTTGTGCGGTGTTTAGAGTTTATATTCGCTCAGGCTACACTGCAATACAATCACCGATTTCGTTCTTTTAAGGTTCCTTCCGTCACCTGGTCAACGAAACTTCAAAAAGAGGCACAAGATTGGGCCGATTATCTTGCAGCAAACAATAAGTTTCACCACAGTCCGAAGAATCCGGGGAACTTGTACCTGTCAGCGTACAAACCGCGAGAGTATTGCAGCGATGCTATTTGGTGGTTCCATAACGAAGAAAAGTATTATAATTACAGCAATCCTCGCTACGTCGTAGCGGCTGGACATTTTACTCAGGTAAATAACATGTGAAGCAATAGATGGAAGTAAATAGATAAGGCCTAGGTTTGTCCGGAGAGTCTTACAATTGAACTAAATACCATTTCCGGAGAGTTACTAAATACCATTGTATTAATGTAACTCACGTTTGGTTTTTGCAACAACACAGCCTGCTAAGGGGTGGCCACTTCAGTGTTATAAAGATAATTTTTATGTGGATATCTAGGCTTAAATAGTACAAATATTGTTATCGTATTACTAGAGCATTTCTTGTCTGTTATGTTGTAGCTGATTTGGAAAAACTCTAAACAGATCGGCGCTGCCTTTGCTGTACGTAAAGACAAGAGGCTTGTTGTATCTATCAAATACAAGCCCGGCGGCAACGTCATTGGTTACTTTAAGAAAAACGTCCTTCCTCCAACTGCGTCTCTTTTGGGACCGGAATGGGCTCGAATCCCGCCTAAATTTGCCAGGTGCCCGATATTGACTCCGACTGGGTCCACTGAAGGGAGCGCGTCTAATGTAACGCAGCCGTATGTGAAGGGGTCAGCAGGAATAGTTGGGTTAACTCTGGAGCTCTTCACTGGGTCTTTTATCCTTGCAACTTTATTTTCGTAAAGCTATAAGGGCGCTGGTTACCCCGAATAGCTCATTTGGGCTCCCTGTGGACCGCGATCTGTTTCTTGGTCAGCAGCAGGTCAATAAAAACATTGTAGTTTGGTATCTTAGTGACTTAGTGACTTGGAATACCCGTACGAAGTGTATACTTAATGAACAGTTATTTATTTTGAACAACAGTTTGATATTAGTCCTGAGAAAGCCAGACTATAAATATATTAATATCAATAACATTTTATTTTTAAAGAGAGGGACATAAAACAAGTTAAAAAGTCCTTTCTTAGATCTTCGTCCCTAAACATGAATTATGTTTTAAAAAACAGTTTTCAGAGAAGCGTCATGTGATGTGATATAAAATGACAAACAAACTAACTTATGGATCTAGGAAGAGGTATATCAGGTTCTTTTGTGATCGCGCTGTCATGTGTAATGTTTTTAGCCACGATGGAAAAATTTTAACAGCAAACATTTCAGGGTTGTTCCACGCTTGAATTCGAAATACTGAAAAGTTAAAACTATAGTAGTTATATCATCAAAGTTAACTTAGAAAACTAAACAATATGATTTTTATGATGATGATGATAGACATCTTTCTAATTTTTTGTATATTTTGAAAGTATTATGTATAATGATTCATATTTCGACAAGTACTGACTTTCTGTCTTTGCAATACGTTTGTAATTTTAAAACTATTCTAAGCCAAATAAATTATATTGTAAAATTCAACTATTTATTTGTGACGTACAGTGAAATTTCCTCAGCCTCTTATCGAAGCAGTAGACCTCAAAATAATAGTCTTCCGGGGTATACTGCTAACCAAAGGAAAGTAATGAGAATGGCGGAAATATTGAATAGATTGGTACGGATTACGATTGACAAACTTTAAAAATTAGACATTTACCATCACCCATATCAGAAATAAAGTTATAGACTTAGTACGTAAGAGTAGCGAAACCTAGATATATAAGGCATAAAATGGTTTACAATGACGAGTCGTGAAAATTTTGTAACAAGGTGTAAATACGAATAATAAACTAGACGTAACTAATTGTGCGTGGCCGGCTCTCTGGTGCGTTTATGTCCGTTTTTTCTGTTCCAACCTTGAGGTCTCAATCGTTTCCCACGCCTTTGCGTTCTTCCACTTTTCTTCCCGCACTTCAAGGTACTACGTCACGAATAAAGAATTAGACAAAAGACTTTGTAACGAATAAACCTTTTTGGACTGATAGATCTGAATCTGGTAACAAATGCTGAGAACCTTAGTTGATTTCTACGTGATTCTTTAGCTTTCATCGTGCTCTCTAAGCCATTTTAACTGATTCGCTATGATTTGCTTCAATTGCTTTACGTATGAACTGCGTGGGCCGATTATTTAAACATACATTTTTTTCTGCGTTTGTCATGTCGTTGTATGATTGAACCGGGTTTGAAACAATTGCCCCAAAACTGCTGCACCTATTCAGCAAATACAAGAAGGAACACCCCGAATGTCGTCCGCCTTTAATTGTCATTTCTGATAGAAGGCGCGGCTGTCGGTTGACGTATGGTTGTACACATGCTTGCTCAGAGCATAAAAAAGGTCGAAGTCTCCTCGTTGTTTTTCTTTCTCGTCCTTTGTCCAGTTGAGGTGTCATCTCGTGGTTGGCGTTAAGCGCAGCGGCGTCACTGTTTTTCAGGTAAGTGCCTATACCTGCCCTTGGCCCGCAAGGTTTGTTTGATTAGTATCAACGTTTTACTTCGAGCTTGAAAACGATTATTGCCCTGGGATCTGGTTCAGATTCTAATTTGCACATGTGTCGTAGACGTTGTTTATCATCTGTGCTTGGGTTAAATCACTCGTGCAAGTATATATAACTTGCCATTATTAGACAACTCGTGAATACCTGATGAAGAAGAACACGAACTGATCGATGATGTGCCAAACATAGCTAAGCATGCTTTCTGTAGAGGCCTAACGTTGTCTGTTTGGCGCATTCGTTCTAGTCTTCAACCTTTTTTTTTGCATTTAGCGTGTGTAGCGCTGTTTTGTAATAGACGATAGCGTCCGGCAGTTCTCAAAGAAAATTTTTGACTGACATGAAATCAAATAATCATGATCAGTTGGCCTGCATTCGCTAATTGTCAAGTGTTGCAGGGAGCTGTAATAATCTATTCTTAGATCTCTCCCGAAAAAAAAGAAAAAAAGATTTACGCAGCGTTCCTTCCTGCGTTCGCTACTGGAAACAGAGGCCAGACATATTTCTAAAGACACTTTTCATTATACCGAGGATTCATTTGCGATATATTCAACAAATAAGGTGTTAATAAGCTTTTATAACGCTATCTAAATTGCCTTTGCACCATGGAATGTCTTTATATGTTATTTCATGTGCAATGTCCGAGTTATGCGGACAACAGTTTTCGGCGTTAGATTTCGTAGTGTTAAGGAGTAATCGCGTGTATGCTATCAAATCGGAGACTTCACAGCTTCCTCACAGGAACAAGATGACCCAAGATGCTTTTAAAAACGTTCATGGCAATACATGTCAATAGAACCGACAGGCTGCCATCAATCATTTTTCAGATCTTATGGGGATGTGCCGACGGGGGGAGACAGTATCTTGTGTAAGGACCGGTGTAGAGCATTTACATTCTAGGTCTGCGGTAGAAGCTCTTCGGGCTAAGAACATTTTTACTTAATTCTTTTTGTATTGTTTCCTCGACTTTGAATCTAAAAAAGGTCGGAAATTAACAGTTATCCTCAAGTTTTAAGTGTCTGAGATGAGAATTAATTAGAAGAAGCTAGAAGAAGGGCTGGGATCCATTTACTGGTCTTATCAGATAAGTGTAACTCAAAACATTGTCCGCTGGAGTACCCCCGGTACGGTATATATTTCCGGTCACATGTTGTTAATCAATAACCATAGATTTGAATCGGCTCCAAAAAATCACAGAGAAAACCCATGAAATCCTGTTCCATGCTTCACTTTACAGCTCCACGAATTATTCACTGATGAAGATCCTTAGTGTGTCGATTCTCTTCGCTGCTGTCCTAGCAACTTGTACAGGTACGTCTGTCTTATCTTTATGTACTTTTTGTCTGTGTGCATAGTTAACTATCCTGTGTGTAATACAGCTCCTTTGAAATATCACATCTATATGGTTTAGATGTACATTGTCGACGAACTAAGCTTTTAAGAGATGTAAGGTTCGGTTTCTTAAGTGCAAAATAGGTATTGACAAAGAAGTGCCGAATTTATCTCGGGGACTTCAGTAACGTGATCGAACATAGCACGTATTTTGTTCAAATTACGAATGCAAAAAGCACTGCTCCAACGCAACCATTCGGTGAGTCATTGGCATGGAGAAATTTGCATACAAAAATAATAAGTGTGTACATCACTTCATGTATAAACAGAACTTGAAACCTATATGAGAGACAATTTGTAAGTGTATCCCTTATAAAAATCGTTGTACAAGCGAGAATATTCTTCGACTTACGAATATAAATACTGTACCGTAGAGAGAAAATTTATGGTTATTATAGGCTTCTCTTTAATCTGGCTTCGATATAGAAGAAGCAAGAGGGTAAATTTACACGCGACAGATCAGGGCAGGTGAGAGCTGAGAATCAGCAAGGGAAACCTGAAATAAAGCGCGTGCGATATTATGAAAAACATGATTTTTCTGAAGGTTAATAAAACTTATGAAGATCGTGTTCTTCAATGAAAAGCGAAACAATAAGCCAATACTCAAGAGAGTTCAGTCTTTGAAGTCAATAAAGACTGAAAGTAGAGCGGTGTTCCTTGTAGTTTTTGATATCATTCCTGCAGAGCACGGTGGGTACTTTTGTTTACAGTTCAAACTTTGAAAGAAAAAGTCTTTGTAGGTTCCTCTCTCTCCACGAAGGTGAAATGAAAATCATTTAAAATTAGCTGCGTTATCCTTAGAAATCGCTCATTTCATCATGTTAATTCATTTTTGCGTGCTGACAATAACTAACAAGCATTTCGTAACTCCTGATTGAGCAATAAGCCCCATCAAGAGAATTTTGCTCAAAGGCATGCCAACCTGCTTAACAATACACTAGACTGATTGGAACTGATTACGGAAGCTCTAACCTCGATGACAATTTAAGTAGTTAAGAGTGGCCAGTTAACCCTTCTCAGCCATACTTTTGCGCGTGAGGTTACTAATGAGAATTCTGTCTGTAAATAAGGTTGCATTTTTTCTGTGTTTACGTATCCTACCATCGGTTGGCAGAAATAACTTTTGAGGCTAAAAGCTCATTACAGATAAGGATAAGACGTAGATCTAACGGGCAATGGGTCAGTTTAAATCCCATTTCGTCATCGGCAGCATTTATCCCACCGCAGATTACTGCAAAACACGCTTGTTCCTATAATCCAATGGACGGTTGTATGTCTTGGCCAACAAATGTGATTATTCTACAGCATACCCGAGTCTCATCCTAAACTAAAATTAACCCGTTTGCATTTTTCGGTGTTCACGTTTTCGCTCGTACTATCTGNGCATGCCAACCTGCTTAACAATACACTAGACTGATTGGAACTGATTACGGAAGCTCTAACCTCGATGACATTTTAAGTAGTTAAGAGTAGCTAATTAACCCTTCTCAGCCATACTACTGCGCGTGAGGTTACTACTGAGAATTTTGTCTGTAAATATGGTTGCATTTTTTCTGTGTTTACGTATCCTACTATCGGTTGGCAGAAATAACTTTTGAGGCTAAAAGCTCATTACAGATAAGGATAAGACGTAGATTTAACAGGCAATGGGTCAGTTTAAATCCCATTTCCTCATCGGCAGCATTTTATCCCACCACAGATAACCGCAAAACACGTTAGTTCCTATAATCCAATGGACGTTTGTATGTCTTGGCCTACAAATTTGATTATTTTACAGCATACCTGAGTCTCATCAGAAACTAAATTAACCCGTTTGCATTTTTCGGTGTTCACGTTTTCGCTCGTACTATCTGTTGACGCAAGTAAAGGTCCTTCTCGTTATCATTTATAAAGTCTATTGATGAAACGCGAAGTGGTTCCAGAAATTGTTTAACCTAAATCTAATTGGCATAGAATTCACATAATTAAGGAACCAACGGGCATTTCCTTACTAATACTGCTAAAAATATCTGATTATCCACTGTGAGACGACTGTCTGTGAACAAAGTAATGCGCACACTACCCACCCTGACAGCCCTTCCGAAGGCCCAACCCGTGCGCATCAAGTGTTATAGTAGCATATATATTGAACACGGTCAGAGGCTCTCCGCTGTGCATACATTTGTTAAATCAGATTTACATAGTGTTCTAAATGTTTCAATTGTCCTGGGAATAAACGTTTTAAAGAAAGGAAGTAGAGGGGGAAGCCGGTGAGTGAGATGAGACCAATCCACTTGGCGAGATAAAAGCGTTGCACGTACAGGTGGTTTTTTAAGGGCATTTAATTACAGATTTGTGGTTTAATTTTATCAAATCATACTTTGTATAATTGACAACATCTTTACTGACAGAGTAAATATGACTTCTACCAGAATTGTTTGAAACCCCTTTAAGAACAACTTATTTTAACCGCGCAGTTTTAAAGTGCTATGATCAGCTATGAATGCTTGAAAAGGATTGGTCACCAGTTGATTAATGTGATCTGATTCCTGCTTCCGACGCTGATCTCACGGCGAAGCATCTGTCTGGAAAAATTCTTTTTTTTTTTTTAACATTACCACTTCGAATTTGGTCGGCAATCGTTTGTTATCACATGGAAACTCGTTCAGACGTGATAATCGTGTTATATTATAAATTTCTCTTACCGGCCAAGTTCTTGACCTTTTTTGTGACTTCATTTCAGATTGCGATGGATATATTGTTGTCACGTGACAGAGGCAGTAATGTATCACGAAACTGAATCCACCATGCATGGTGAAACGAAATCAAGTAAAATAAAGCTAAACTTGCGTTTCTAATGTCGTAGCGGCTCAAAATAGTAATTATGCGCTCTCTTTTACACAAACAATCGAGCTACGTAACAACATCATGTCTTTTCGTTTGCCTTTTGATAAACGTCACTGATTGCATAAGCTGTCAAACCATGACAGCTGGAAAAACAGGATACGTTAAGACGTGAATTATTATGCCATATTTAGAGAGAGTTGCCAAATTTTCTCAGTAGAAGTTTTTCTGGTTTAGTCGCGAGCACGCTGCCAGTATGGTAACTACCATGGAAGTCCTGTTCTTGATGATCTTCTTCGCGACAAGCCTGGCCGCATCGAACGGTATGCCATCCCATTTACCTTGTGTAGGTTACTCTAAGCTGAGCCGGTGAATGTTTTGCATGTTGTTTTGGACTCCAAAATTTACATCTAGCATGCAGGTCAAAGTTTGGCTCCCTTGTAACTCACCAATAAGTTCCGAACGTCGTTACTTTTAGGATTAAGCAGCCTTTTCAAAGAAGAAATCGCCACTGGATTTACCAATAACCCTGTCATTTTGTCGTTACTTCTAGAACCTTGTGGTTTTTCAGTCTTGCTCTAACGGAGCGGCTAAATAATAAAAATGAATGAATAATCAAATCGTACCCTATTTAACAAACAAAAAATACTTCTTTACATAACAAACCACGGTGTTCTTACACCCGCAAAATTAATGTATGAACCCTCACTTATGTACAATCACACGTTTTGTTGGTCCCACACGGAAATCTTTAATTTAAAGCTCTGAGCTCGGTTTTTATGTCAGGTTGCCTTTATTTACAATTTCGAGTACTTAAAACGTAATAGTCCTCAGGGAAATTTACTTTGAATACAGAAAGTAAGCTTAAAAAGTCTTAAGCAAAGTTTGGTTGCGCAATAACGGCACACATCTCTTTTACGTATATTAGTTCAATGGCATGCAGAACTTGCTGAAACAATAACTACTTTATAACACTATTCCCAGTAACACTTAAATTAAGTGAGGGCTGGATGACTTTGCAATTAGAGTAACCAGTTGCAGTTTTGTCTGTAAATACAACGAGAAACTACAATAATAATGCTATTTGACGTAATCTGTTAGCAAAAATGTGGCTTGGCATACGATTTTCTCGTCAAGTGCAGAGAAAAGGTTTCTTATACCGGCTAAGGTAAGTTAAAAGGTTTTTTATTCACTTCTGGGGGTCACCTCGAGTCAATTAATGGGTTCCTATGTATGTGGGTAGGACCTTGATGTATTACAAGTTGAGTAACAACTGTAGACCAGTGCTTTCGTGTGGAACTGTTTACTGAGGTGAACAACGGTTTTACCTTGTTTTCAGCCCCTGGTAGATATATATATATATATATATATATATATATACTCATGAGTGGGCAACCACGAAACAATTCCAGTGAAAGCTATTGAGCAGCACTTTCGTGTGGTGATGTTTTTGTTCCAATATTTTTATAAAGCTCAAGTATGGATTTTTTTGGAGCGTTAATGGTTAAAATAATAATTATAGCTATAACAACCAGTGACGGCCGATAACTATATATAGAATGAAAACTATGTACTTTTCTTTTCGTCAGTAGTGAGGGCAAAAACGCATTTCCACATCTCTTCACTCAGTGACTTATGAGGGCGGCAAAGGTTTACGTGTGACACGTGATGAGGTTAAAAATTAGTGTTTGATGCGTTAAGAGCAACTAAAAGACATACGTGATTTGTGTATTTATAAAAATAACAATTGTTAAAAGTAGTTAAAGGTATATGTGACGCGAGAACTTTGTTAAAATTCGTACGTGAAATGTGATCACAACGTAACCCTTTGCCGTTTCCTACCTTTACTTTTGATTTTAATTTTGTGTTAACTCAATCACCGATCGTAAACCGATACATAAAAGATAAGGAAGAACTTTGAAATTCTTATGGACTGAGACATAATTTTAGCACGCCAATTCTAAGAGTAGCAGTGGTTAGGAAGCGTAACCACAGGAGCCAAAGGATTCAATTCTAACTTGGGCTTCTCTGAAACAAAATGAGCCCACTCTGAGAAACACATGGGCGATGTTCTATTCCTAGTCTGATAGCTCGTGATGTGCTGATAGCTGTAAAGAGTTGTTTTGCCGAGTGAGTGGTAGAAAGAAACTCTGAGTTATAATTTGTTGTCAATTCGGCATTTGTGGATTGACAACAATGTACGGTACAGATAATACCAATCAGTTGTCCTTCAAAGTCCCTCGTCAGAGCACACCTGACAGTGACTCACCCAGTCGAGATAAACATCAAACTTGATTTTCATTCTAACTTTATAGCTCGCGATAATTTTCAGTGACTTGGCTTTTAAGGTTTTACGTACCGTCTGATAAATATTCAATAATTGCAGGTACGATGCCATTTAAAGATCAGTGTCTTTATTGGCACAACTACTTCAGGACACTTCACCAGGTAAATACACGTGACAGCCTCGTGGACAAAAAAAAATTGCTGACCTTTTCTTGTGAAGGGGTGGGGCGAGGAGGAGGTTGAAATGGCATATAAATGACCCACTGCTATTTTGCTTTATTGTTCACATATTCATGAAAAAGACATAAGTTTTATGACACTTTTTGCTATTTGATTTTGTTTTTATGAATTAAGGTCCAACCATATCTGCATGTCCAGTATACACTGCAATAAGATCTCCATTTGTTTTTAAGGTTCCCAATGTCACGTGGTCGATGAGCCTCCAAAAAGAGGCGGAGGACTGGGTAAAGTATCTTGCAGAAAACAACAAGTTTCACCACAGCTCGAAGAATCCTGGGAACTTGTATCTGTCAGCGTACAAACCCAAGGAGTATTGCAGTGATGCTATTTGGTGGTTCCATAACGAAGAAAAGTTTTACAATTACAGCAATCCTCGCTATGTCAGAGCTGCTGGACATTTCACTCAGGTAAGTTATGAGCGCTGTCACAGAGTTTAACTGAAAAAAGTTTTCTCAACAATCTGTCTCGTTGGTCCAGAATCCCAACCAGGTCAGTTGTAACTGCCTCGATTTGTAGCACCTTTTTTTCTCGTGTTATTGGAGTCTGTTATCAGCTGCCAAAAATATTTCGACAAGAACATTGCTGAAAATCAAAAGAAAGAAATCCCGGTGGTCTGTAAAGGGGCTACTTGTCGAATGGAACATCTTGAAAAATTCGTTCAGTCTTTTCAAATCGTAAACTCAATGATTTCATCATTTGTTACTTCCTTGATGTTTCTCTGCAATAATAAACTACAGACTTCTTTCTTTTGTATGTCGCAAAAATGACATGGCTAGTTGAATCTATCCGGCCGACGCATATGTTGACTGACTCTGTTTGTTGTATCTCAGGTGCTTTGGAGAAACTCGAAACAGATCGGTGCCGCCTGGGCCATCCGTAAAGACAACAGGCTAGTTATATCGATCAAATACCATCCTGGCGGAAACTACATCGGTTACTTTGGAAGAAATATCTTTCGCCCAACAGCAGCTCTTCTAGGACCCGAATGGCCGCATGTTCCTCCTAAATTTGCTAGGTGTCCTGCAGCTGCAATAATCACACCGGAACCGCCAACCACGGCACCAACCACGGCACCAACCACCACTCCTGACATGGGAGGTAATACTGAACGTTTTCCCATAGCTAGACATGACAAGCTCATTAATGAATTCACCACACCTGATATGGGAGGTAATACATAAACCTTTTTTCCATAGCTACACGTCAGGAGCTCATTGATAGATTCAAATGAGCCAATGATTCCCAGTAAGTGTCAGTAAGAGCACTAAAACGAATCCAGAGGACCTTCTTTCTCAAAACGAGTCAGGAACATCTTTACCAGTTCAGCTTGATGTGCGCCCTCCCCGCCCTCGCCTAAAAATCAAAACTGTTTCATGTTTTGTTTCAATTTTTTCACTGATATGATCTTTTTGTTTTGTGAAATTTCAGGTACGATGCCATTTCAACATCAATGTCTTTATTGGCACAACTACTTCCGCACCCTTCATCAGGTAAGTTTACGCCACTGAAAGAGGCGCGTCTCGCTACGTACATAAATAACGAAAAAAAATCGGCGCTATAATTTTAGATTGAATTTGTAAGGTAAAGGTAAGGTAAAATGTTTATTAGACACGGCGTCTAATTCAGGACTTAAAAACATTGAATTAAATTAGTCTAACTATCTAACTAATAAATCACTAATAACTACTACAATGAAAGAAATGATAAAAAAAAACCTGCTTTACAAGGAAGCCGTGTATAAAAGCAAAATAAAACTTATATAAGACTACCATCAAAATCATAATTCTTCAACTTAGATTTAAATTCATCGAGAGAGGGTGACTGACGAATATCCAAGGACAAACACATTGCGATATGTCCACACACTGCGATATTGCAAGGCTTGAACGCGGTCAGGTGATGATCGAGTCAATCTCATTAGGTTTTGTACAACTTCTGTGGTAGATAGTGAGTAGCCTAGCTGTATGCGGTTGTAAACAAAATGGCAGCCGCTTCTATGGGTTTTCGAAGTATGTGTGAAGAGCTAGGATTTAGTTTTGAAACAAAAGTGGATTTATACTTAAACAATTAGATTATTCGCTCTTGATTTCTATGCGTGACAGTCGACTCTAACTGCACCCCTGTGAACTATAACCCGATAGAAATCGACAGCGAATAATCTAATTGTTAGTGAAACGCTTACAAATAACGAATATTGTTTCGGGGAAAATTACAAACATTAAAACGCATGAAGGACGCCCGCGTGATTTATTTTACCCGTTAACCACTCGACGTTTTTGCAGAAATAATCTAATAAATATCCTTTGCTGTTTTTCAAATATTAAAGGTTCCCTTTGTCACCTGGTCGATTAGCCTTCAAAGGGAAGCGGAAGACTGGGTCAAGTATCTTGCAGAGAATAACAAGTTTGGCATTAGCAAGACCAATTCTGGGAACTTATACATGTCAGCGTATAGACCGAGGGAATATTGTAGTGAAGCTGTTTGGTGGTTCCATAGCCAAGAAAAGTATTATGATTTCAGAAATCCTCACTATGTCAAAGCGGCTAGCAACTTTACCCAGGTAAGTTTGAAACAGTAACTGTTCATAGCTGAATTAAGTTGAGCCGGGTATTTCCTTCCTTGTTTTTGCGCATGCAATTGTGCGGACTGGCAGACATGATAGGCTGGTGGACTGACTCACTCACTGAGGCTGGTGGACAGACGGATGGACGGACTGACTGAAGCCAATGACAAACAATCAAACATGATTCTGATAATACGTGGAATTAAAAAGTTTCCCTTGATTATATCTCAAATGATAAAAGTTAAGCTAACCTTCTGGCCCAGGATGTTCGAAAGGTGGATAACGCTATCCAACGAATATATCACAATCCGGTAGATAGCGTAGTTGGTTTTGTAAACACTTTTCCACTGGATAGCGGTTTATCCGGTGGATAGCGGCGTTATCCAGCCAAAACTGAGGTCTGATTTGTCGAAACCATTATGCGAATAGCAGAACTGAATGTTGTCATATATTATAACAAAATCCCGCTCTGGTACATAAAGAAATATACGGAAAGCAGTTATAGGGGAATTTTAATGTTGAACTCGTCCCTTACCCCCGCTTCCCTCAAATACCGTAAATGTCTCCGCAAACAATTTATTAAATGATCTCTGTACGGTACAGTATAATTACTAACATGTGATCACTTTTCAGATGGTTTGGAAAAACGTGAAACAAATCGGTGCTGCTTGGGCATTCCGTAAAGACTACAGGCTTGTTGTAGCAATTAAGTACAGTCCTGAGAGTAACGAGGATGGCAATTTTGAAGAAAACGTTTTTCCTCCCATCGCGGAAACCCTGGGACCAGAATGGGCGCGGAATCCCCCTGAATATGCCAGGTGCCCCAGGGAGAACATACCATCACAGCCTCCCACGAACGCAACCACGAACGCAAGTAAGCCTCACGTAAAAGGGGTAGCGAGGAAGACTGGGTCAAACCTGGAGCTCTTCATTGTCTCTGTTATCCTTGCTGGTTTATTTTCGTAAATGGCAGTTAACTTTGAGCGACGAGAAAAACCTGTTTGTTTGCCGAGGACACTTAAAATGCAGACACCCTACTCCCTACATGTCTTACAGTGGAACTTCATGTGATTTTTCGTAGAGAACAGTTGCTACTGTTATTCTTACACTGGGCTCCAAAACCCGGTACAATATTTAATTTAAAAGTTATTTATTGAGAAAGGAGCTTAAAGGTTCAGTTGCAGTGCAATCATAATAATTATAAGAACATAAATTCTAGCTCTCGGGCTATTATTGCACATTTAGTCTGCTAATAGACCTTCCCCGCGTTTCATATCATTTACATGCATTTCCTGTATTTTTGCACACCCTGAAATCGACCCGACTCGGTGCCCTTGGTGGTTAAAATGAAGGTAAAGTCTGTTTCCGTTATATCATGTTTTTGTTTGAAAGATCTGGAATTCTTTAAAGCTAACAGACATATGACACAAAGTTGGTCGAGAGGGGATTCCAAGATAGACTCTCTATTTGATCTTAGTAGTTTTATATTTTGAACCTTTTTAAGGACGTTCGCGCGAAAATTTTCCAGTGGATAGATTTTTTTTTAAATTTTACGGTAGTCAGATAATGAGTTACTTGTGTCAGAACTGCGAAAAAAAATTGGGGTTCACTGACTTCGTTTCATAGATAAAGCGTGTGGAAAACTACCCTGATTTTGGCGCACGTAATTCAGCATGGTCTACAGGGGTTTGTAGTTAAAAATATCGAAGGTGAGTCTACGGAGGCAAACGATCTTAGTCATATTTTGTAGAAGTGGGCCTGTTGCGTAAAAAATTCCAAATTTTACCAACGTTTACACAAAACGTAACCCTTCAAGAGGCATTTGAAACGGTCGCACAGATAAACGAAGAGCTAATTAAAAGAACGGAATTCGATGGTGCATTTTGCAAAAAATTCAACTCGAATTCGATGGTGCATTTTGCAAAAAATTAAACTTCTAGTCAATAGATTTTCTTCATTTTTTTCGCCAAACGTAGAAAATCGGCATGAGAGAAAATGATCCATCAAAAGAAAAATAGGGGTCACAGAACGTCCAAGATCGTTAAATCCAGGAAAAGCTATAGCAATGGCCATCTGCCCTATCATTGTCGGTTCATTTTATTACTTAGCACGCGCTCTTCATGCGTGACGTGGTGACTGAATCTGCGCAGTAAGGATGCGCAGAAACAATTAGCGCGAACTTCCTTAAACTAATTTTTTTATCTAATTTTAAGCATGTTGTGAGGTTTATAAATTCTAAGTTTTTTTTATTATATTTAGCAGGGCCTCTATTGAGCTGACAGAGTTATCCTGAAAAAATGAAGGTTTACTTACTTAGTCACTGATTAATGTAGTATGCTCGTCCATTCTAGTCTCGTGGCTATAAAATAATAACGTTTTTGCATGCCACCTTAATTTGATTAATTTTAAAAGAAATATTTCTTCATTGAAAGGTCACATAATCTGAAATGACGCAGCAAACAGCCAACTATCAATGGCTCGTTAGACCATAGTAATATGGAAATGGCCAATAATAGTTAGCCACGGCCGTGTAAAATTTTGTAACCGTAATAGCGATGTAATGAAATTGTATTTTCCTTTTCGTCCCGATGCATGGGACTGAAATATTTGTGCACGTTTTGGAAATGTAAACAGATTTTCAGCTGGATGTAAATTTGTATAAAGGAATGTAAAACGACTGTCAGATGACGGTTGACAGGACAACTACATATGATTTATATGATTTATATGTCAAACATTAATAATATAATGACGTGATGAGAATAAAGAGAACAATGTTGAGAAAATGATTTTAAGATGATTTGTTACAAGCTTGTAACGTTTCAAAATGTAAGGGGAGAGTCAATGAATAACATTATCATTTTTTTGTAATTCATGATTGTCATAATCAAAGAATCAGACATGGAGACGCGCCCATGGGGGTGCTTGTAGTTCGTTTTAGGGGTTAAGAAAGCGTGTTTGGTACGTCTTTGAGTGTTGTGCCTCAAAAGGTCCACAGCAGGAGCTTTAGCGGTACCTTTTAGGGCACTAAGTCGAAAAAAGTATGACAGGAGATAAAATTTCAAGCCAAGCCCACAAAACTGGATCCTGGCACCTCTTAGGGGTTCTTTTCAAAAATTCCGACGAGCATCCCCACCCTTTATATATGGAAGTCTCTCCGCCCCNCAGGTGATGATCGAGTCAATCTCATTAGGTTTTGTACAACTTCTGTGGTAGATAGTGAGTAGCCTAGCTGTATGCGGTTGTAAACAAAATGGCAGCCGCTTCTATGGGTTTTCGAAGTATGTGTGAAGAGCTAGGATTTAGTTTTGAAACAAAAGTGGATTTATACTTAAACAATTAGATTATTCGCTCTTGATTTCTATGCGTGACAGTCGACTCTAACTGCACCCCTGTGAACTATAACCCGATAGAAATCGACAGCGAATAATCTAATTGTTAGTGAAACGCTTACAAATAACGAATATTGTTTCGGGGAAAATTACAAACATTAAAACGCATGAAGGACGCCCGCGTGATTTATTTTACCCGTTAACCACTCGACGTTTTTGCAGAAATAATCTAATAAATATCCTTTGCTGTTTTTCAAATATTAAAGGTTCCCTTTGTCACCTGGTCGATTAGCCTTCAAAGGGAAGCGGAAGACTGGGTCAAGTATCTTGCAGAGAATAACAAGTTTGGCATTAGCAAGACCAATTCTGGGAACTTATACATGTCAGCGTATAGACCGAGGGAATATTGTAGTGAAGCTGTTTGGTGGTTCCATAGCCAAGAAAAGTATTATGATTTCAGAAATCCTCACTATGTCAAAGCGGCTAGCAACTTTACCCAGGTAAGTTTGAAACAGTAACTGTTCATAGCTGAATTAAGTTGAGCCGGGTATTTCCTTCCTTGTTTTTGCGCATGCAATTGTGCGGACTGGCAGACATGATAGGCTGGTGGACTGACTCACTCACTGAGGCTGGTGGACAGACGGATGGACGGACTGACTGAAGCCAATGACAAACAATCAAACATGATTCTGATAATACGTGGAATTAAAAAGTTTCCCTTGATTATATCTCAAATGATAAAAGTTAAGCTAACCTTCTGGCCCAGGATGTTCGAAAGGTGGATAACGCTATCCAACGAATATATCACAATCCGGTAGATAGCGTAGTTGGTTTTGTAAACACTTTTCCACTGGATAGCGGTTTATCCGGTGGATAGCGGCGTTATCCAGCCAAAACTGAGGTCTGATTTGTCGAAACCATTATGCGAATAGCAGAACTGAATGTTGTCATATATTATAACAAAATCCCGCTCTGGTACATAAAGAAATATACGGAAAGCAGTTATAGGGGAATTTTAATGTTGAACTCGTCCCTTACCCCCGCTTCCCTCAAATACCGTAAATGTCTCCGCAAACAATTTATTAAATGATCTCTGTACGGTACAGTATAATTACTAACATGTGATCACTTTTCAGATGGTTTGGAAAAACGTGAAACAAATCGGTGCTGCTTGGGCATTCCGTAAAGACTACAGGCTTGTTGTAGCAATTAAGTACAGTCCTGAGAGTAACGAGGATGGCAATTTTGAAGAAAACGTTTTTCCTCCCATCGCGGAAACCCTGGGACCAGAATGGGCGCGGAATCCCCCTGAATATGCCAGGTGCCCCAGGGAGAACATACCATCACAGCCTCCCACGAACGCAACCACGAACGCAAGTAAGCCTCACGTAAAAGGGGTAGCGAGGAAGACTGGGTCAAACCTGGAGCTCTTCATTGTCTCTGTTATCCTTGCTGGTTTATTTTCGTAAATGGCAGTTAACTTTGAGCGACGAGAAAAACCTGTTTGTTTGCCGAGGACACTTAAAATGCAGACACCCTACTCCCTACATGTCTTACAGTGGAACTTCATGTGATTTTTCGTAGAGAACAGTTGCTACTGTTATTCTTACACTGGGCTCCAAAACCCGGTACAATATTTAATTTAAAAGTTATTTATTGAGAAAGGAGCTTAAAGGTTCAGTTGCAGTGCAATCATAATAATTATAAGAACATAAATTCTAGCTCTCGGGCTATTATTGCACATTTAGTCTGCTAATAGACCTTCCCCGCGTTTCATATCATTTACATGCATTTCCTGTATTTTTGCACACCCTGAAATCGACCCGACTCGGTGCCCTTGGTGGTTAAAATGAAGGTAAAGTCTGTTTCCGTTATATCATGTTTTTGTTTGAAAGATCTGGAATTCTTTAAAGCTAACAGACATATGACACAAAGTTGGTCGAGAGGGGATTCCAAGATAGACTCTCTATTTGATCTTAGTAGTTTTATATTTTGAACCTTTTTAAGGACGTTCGCGCGAAAATTTTCCAGTGGATAGATTTTTTTTTAAATTTTACGGTAGTCAGATAATGAGTTACTTGTGTCAGAACTGCGAAAAAAAATTGGGGTTCACTGACTTCGTTTCATAGATAAAGCGTGTGGAAAACTACCCTGATTTTGGCGCACGTAATTCAGCATGGTCTACAGGGGTTTGTAGTTAAAAATATCGAAGGTGAGTCTACGGAGGCAAACGATCTTAGTCATATTTTGTAGAAGTGGGCCTGTTGCGTAAAAAATTCCAAATTTTACCAACGTTTACACAAAACGTAACCCTTCAAGAGGCATTTGAAACGGTCGCACAGATAAACGAAGAGCTAATTAAAAGAACGGAATTCGATGGTGCATTTTGCAAAAAATTCAACTCGAATTCGATGGTGCATTTTGCAAAAAATTAAACTTCTAGTCAATAGATTTTCTTCATTTTTTTCGCCAAACGTAGAAAATCGGCATGAGAGAAAATGATCCATCAAAAGAAAAATAGGGGTCACAGAACGTCCAAGATCGTTAAATCCAGGAAAAGCTATAGCAATGGCCATCTGCCCTATCATTGTCGGTTCATTTTATTACTTAGCACGCGCTCTTCATGCGTGACGTGGTGACTGAATCTGCGCAGTAAGGATGCGCAGAAACAATTAGCGCGAACTTCCTTAAACTAATTTTTTTATCTAATTTTAAGCATGTTGTGAGGTTTATAAATTCTAAGTTTTTTTTATTATATTTAGCAGGGCCTCTATTGAGCTGACAGAGTTATCCTGAAAAAATGAAGGTTTACTTACTTAGTCACTGATTAATGTAGTATGCTCGTCCATTCTAGTCTCGTGGCTATAAAATAATAACGTTTTTGCATGCCACCTTAATTTGATTAATTTTAAAAGAAATATTTCTTCATTGAAAGGTCACATAATCTGAAATGACGCAGCAAACAGCCAACTATCAATGGCTCGTTAGACCATAGTAATATGGAAATGGCCAATAATAGTTAGCCACGGCCGTGTAAAATTTTGTAACCGTAATAGCGATGTAATGAAATTGTATTTTCCTTTTCGTCCCGATGCATGGGACTGAAATATTTGTGCACGTTTTGGAAATGTAAACAGATTTTCAGCTGGATGTAAATTTGTATAAAGGAATGTAAAACGACTGTCAGATGACGGTTGACAGGACAACTACATATGATTTATATGATTTATATGTCAAACATTAATAATATAATGACGTGATGAGAATAAAGAGAACAATGTTGAGAAAATGATTTTAAGATGATTTGTTACAAGCTTGTAACGTTTCAAAATGTAAGGGGAGAGTCAATGAATAACATTATCATTTTTTTGTAATTCATGATTGTCATAATCAAAGAATCAGACATGGAGACGCGCCCATGGGGGTGCTTGTAGTTCGTTTTAGGGGTTAAGAAAGCGTGTTTGGTACGTCTTTGAGTGTTGTGCCTCAAAAGGTCCACAGCAGGAGCTTTAGCGGTACCTTTTAGGGCACTAAGCCGAAAAAAGTATGACAGGAGATAAAATTTCAAGCCAAGCCCACAAAACTGGATCCTGGCACCTCTTAGGGGTTCTTTTCAAAAATTCCGACGAGCATCCCCACCCTTTATATATGGAAGTCTCTCCGCCCCCTCCCCACCACTTTCTCCCAGGGAGACGTGTTTCCACTTTTAGTGGCTTTTACATTTGTACTCCGTCTAGCTCTCTACACACTGCGTTCGCGCTTTTTCGTCTATGCAGCCGAAGATAGTCTAACCTTTACTTGTCTCCTGATTTAGTCTCGTTCGCAATTTACGTTAACGTTTGCGTTTCAATCCAAATGACGTCATGGGATTTTCCAAGTCAAATCACAACGTGCATTTCGAAATCTTCAATCTTGCACAAATGAATGCACTGCTTCGATCTAAAACGTAACACGAAGACAACGCATATATATGTACAAGCTGTGCAGTTCTTTGGATACTTGAAAATTGTCGTCTAAAAAGTGGACTCGCTGCACTTAAGGGGTTATTACTTAGAGACCCACATGATATGGAGCTGCTTTTCTGAGATTCTTTGCTTAATAATAACAACTTTGTTGTCTGATCTGCTCACCGAGGGAGGACAGTTGCCACCTGTCCTCCCTCCCCTCCCTTATAAAGGCTAAAGCAGCGCATACATTACCATTTCACTTTGAATACTGTCCACTAATGCCACATGTGCAAGTGTAAGAAACAAGATGCTCTAAATAAACACTCTAAATAAACACTGTATGAATGTGCCAAATGAAACATTTGCGTAGATTGACAGAACGTGCAATTGAGAGCTATTGCGCCGCATACCACTCACGGAAAAGACAAAGAAACATTTTGCGCAACAAAACAACCTGCGCGCAAAATGATCACATTTAGCAGTCTTGGATTTCTTTGTAGGCTGATAACGTGTATCATTACTGTGCAGAATGCAGGTGGGTGTAAAAGAGTAAAAGAATATTCGAATAAAACCAGTTGTTACATAGCTATTGGACGTCTGCAGTACTTGACATTTGTTATCATTTACTGAAAAGACAACCTGTGTTAGCAACTACAAAATCTCGTAAAGTAAATTGTCTTGATGCAATCAGCGCGTTCCAAGTTACTGACAGTGCGTGTGAGTGAATTGTAGCTAGTCAACATGGTCAATTTTAGAATTGGAGGCACCAAATAAATAGTTACTCTTTTAAATATCTGTGGGCATTGACGCATTTCGCTCTGGATTATAAATAACTCGAGGATAATCTTTGAAATAAATCCAACAAACAAAAACTATTAAACTAATTTTCTTAAATAGCATTAAATGATTTTTTTTTAACCTTTTTTGGAGTGACAACGAAGTAAGCTATTCCAACATCCCTATACACTGAACTATCACGATATATACTTTCATCTAGACTTTTAAACTTCAAGTTAGTGTAAATAAATTTAGTCAGCAATGTATCCAGCAAGTATATAACAGGTGAGATTATGTGTTATTTTGTTATTTATTCTAAGCTCTATCGTTACCCGGCCTTTTAATTTCGACTGTTTTGGCCGTCTTACACATATAATGACGAAGCGAAAATTATAATCCTATTTTTGCTCTACTTTTGTTTTATTCAAAAGTTCGTGATTTGCATACTATGGATACTTTGGAGGCCATAACTCAAAAAAGTAAATATTGATAGAAACGTATAATTATATCCCATAAGTTGACATTTCACTCGTGTGTTTATGACATTTAATTAATTTTTCCTTTGTACGGGTCAAAGCCAATCATAGCACTAACAGTCTACAAGACATGTAAATAAGTAAAAAAAAAACCTCGGCGTAATTTTTTTCGACTTTTTCTCGAAAAGTCAATGGCGAGACACGTGTGGCTGCTTCACCGCTTGTTGGCCCGGTCTCATCTGTATCAAATTTATCCACGGCTGTTGTTTTACCATCCACTTAAAGTCATCAAAACAGCTAACGAATTCCCCGGTTGTCAACGTCCAAACGTCACGACCCGTCAGGTAACCTCGGTACCAGGTTATCCTCGATTTTCATCTGCTAAAATGGTGGAACCTGACATTCATTGTGAAACTCGGTTTATTGAGGATGCGTCAGGCTCTTCTGCCATTAAACAGCCCAAAATACCCTTGTCGATTGGTTTTCCATTATATAACTTATGTTATATTGTGGCATAACGTTGACTGTCAATCAGCCAGTCAGTCCCTCAGTCGGTCAGTCGGTCAGTCGGTCAGTCAGTCAGTCAGTCAGTCAGTCAGTCGGTCGGGCAGTCAGTCAGTTAGTCAGTCAGTCAGTCAGTCAGTCAGTCAGTCAGTCGGGCAGTCAGTCAGTCAGTCAGTCAGCCAGTGATCCAATTGCTCTGTATAATGACTCCTTTCATTTATTTCATTTACCTGTAGGTTCTTTGAACTGTAAACAGCAGTCACTGTTATGGCATAATTACTACAGAAACATTCATCAGGTTAGTTACTAATCATGTGCTGAGATCATGGTCTTTTCAAACCCAACTTAAACGGCACAAGCTATACATTGAGTGTTTTGAGAAGTGCATTCAATAATACACAGAAAATGGTGCTTCAATACACACTGAGTTTGCTTTGCTGATAAACAACATTAGGTATAGAACATGTAGCTCCCTTGGAGAGAGGTACTTGATTCTGAGTGGCCGTGGAGGGTTGGAATAAGGAGAAGTAGCAGTGGCATTAACGCTTTAAACCTTCGAATTACGCCCTAGCCAGTTTCCATTATAGTTAATTTAAATATTATAGCACCACTGAATACTCTGTTTCGTGTCAAAGTTGGTATTTTACTGAGTTGATATGAGAAATCTTTCTGCTTCATGATCATGATGATAGCACTAATAGTGTGCAGTCCATGTTTGTCCATATTTAAGGAGCAGTCAAACTTTCAGATTTCGCTTAGCAACGCTTCAGTATACATCTCTTTTTCACATATGGTACCGTGTAGTGTCCCTGACCGGATGCATCACTTTTTACTCGCAAGAAACGTTTTAAAAGCTGTAATTATCATGTACAGTATGTGTTCATTTCGTGATTAATAAATGTCAGTGATGTTGTCTGTTAGGTTGGCAATGTAACATGGTCAAGTAAGCTGTTTAAAAAAGCCAGGACATGGGCGGTTTATTTGGCCAATAACAATCTATTTATCCACGAAAAAGATGATCCTGGAAATCTTTTCCTGTCTGCAGGAAAACCTAAAGAACCATGCGCCAGGGCTGTCCAGCTATTTTACACTGAGGAGAAAAACTACAATTACAAGACGCCGGAGGTCTTTAATGGTGCCGGGCACTTCACTCAGGTAGAATTTAAGGGTTTTCTGTAACTTTATTTTTGCATGATGTTGTAGCTTTAGATACCCAAGCAGTAACCAATCACCTCAGTCATGTTCAAAAGTGTATCTCCTTCTTTCTAAAGAAGACAATGGTTGCTGCATAACATCACGCACCTCCTCTTTTAGCGATTCATTCTCTAGTGTAGCCTGTCACGCGGAAATTTTTTCCTGCGTTCTTCCCCATTGTAAGAAAGAAAGAGTGACAAGCCAATCGAATGTTGCAATAAGAGGCTGTCTCCAGCTCAGCTCCATATTTTTGTGTCTGTTCCTTACTTACTCATCTTATAGCCTTACTGCGGCTGCTTCTTACTGCGGCTACTTCTTCTTCTTTTCTTCGCCCCATTCTCGACTAGAGTCTGTTCACAGCCTACTCATCTTAAGGCCGATCTAGCTTATACAACTTTGCGGCATGCGACTTTTGTTTGCGTTGCTTACGTCGTGCAGTAGACTTTCTCGCTCAAAGTCCTTTTGTTGTTGTAGACAGTCCAATTACGCCCCTTGTCCTCACAGTCTTGCCCCCCGGAGTCAGGTTTTGAGTGTCGCAGAACTGATATGTATCTCGTTCTGAGCTAGTCTAGGCATGCAATAGCTAAACAACTTTCCAATCTCGTTCCCAGAGGGCGCGCTCCCTTTTGCTAGTATAAAGAAATCTAGACCTCTGGGAGAAATCAGGCAAGCCAGCATTAGTTACAGCGGTTACTCTCTCTATGCATATTGGTAGACCGATATAGAACTTAATCACACGCGCGCAATCAAACCGAAAACAATATTTTCTGGTTCCGGTTTTGGATTTCTTCCAGAGCGTCGCGCGTTCGGTCATCACTGCCCGAAAACGTGCGAACTTTAGGATTGACTTTCATCGAACATCTTCCGAGCACTCCGTGAGGCTACGATTGTCGTGGGGTCTGTAATAAAACATGTTTTAAATTCCTAAAACATTTTGCGTGGGTATATATTACAAGGGCGATAATCGCATGCAAGTTGCAAGTTCGATTTATACAAAACAATTTATGAGTTGATTCTAAATCGGTCCTTTCGGCTACCAGATTAACAGTGACATGGTTTTTTGTTTCTTTATAGGTTGTTTGGAAAAACACGAAGGAAATTGGCGCATTCAGCAAAGAAAGAAACGACGGTAAAACTGTCGTGGTGGTCAAATATTCTCCCCCTGGAAACGTCCAGGGTTATTTCGCTAAAAACGTCTTCCCTCCGAGAAAGCCGACAACAGTGACAAGACCTACGATTACAAAAACTGATAACTCGACGGTCACTACCCTTACTTCACCAGGACCGAAACCAGACGTTAGAGCAGGTGCCAAGAGTGTAAAAGGCAGGAGAGGGATACATTTTGTTATGCAGTTCGGACTCTTAGGTTTTTTGATTATTAAGACACTTTACGTGGATTGAAACGTGAAATAACATTCCAAGTTTTAGCAAGCGGAAGGTTCTAACCTTGTGAGAAAAAAGCTTTGATATTCAACTCGTAACAATTCTAAACTGATGATGACTCTACTGTCTCTAATTAACTAATTGTTGCTCAGCTTTGAATAAATAGCAGTATTTAGAGAAGAAGCCACATCAGCCCCAGCTGGTTTTCACGCGGATCCTCTATCCTGGTTGAATTCAATTGGGAGTGTTGGTTTTTGTGAGGGAGGAAAACCGGAGAACCCGGAGAAAAACCCTCGGAGTAACGATAGAACCAGCAACAAACTCAACACACATATGGCACCGAGCCGGAATCGAACCCGGGCCACATTGTTGGGAGGCGAGCGCTCTCACCACTGCGCTATCCCTGCTCCCCAATTTTCGTGCGCAACGATTTACAGCCAATAGAGCGACCCACGCAGATAGCCACAGAGCTATATCATCATTATATGAATTTGGGTCAAATCTCACTCAAACGTCTCGCTAGCGAGAAAGGGAAATGGGTAATGGGCCTATGAAAAGAGACATCTGTCTTCTAAGGTTGTACTGAACATATCCCACTTTCTAGTTTAAATAGATTAAGAGAAATTTTGTAACAAAGCGTTTTTCTTTTCATTCCTTAATAAAGTATTGTAATACTATCATCGCGTTCCCCAACTACGTCGATTTTTGATGCTGGGGCAAATACGATGTCATCATTTCACTACGTACTATGTACCGTAAAACCCAAAACTTAAACTATTCTGTACTTCGCTGTCAAGGACAATAAGCTACAATTGGAAACCCTTGGCCCTCAGTATACCTAAAACCTCTGGCGGACTGAGATAAATCAACTGATTTAAGATTAAAATAAATAATAAATAAAAAAATGGACTCTGTCGAAGTTGACATCATACAGACTTCATCATACTGTACTATTTCTTCGAAAAAATAAGACACCTAAAATTTAACTTAAATAGTAATTCTGAAGAAATTGAAATTAGTCGCCGAAATTAATAATGAGAAGCTGAACTCGAAAAATTTTAATAATCGTTTTTCATATTTTTGTAGTTGAATAAGAATGCCGATGTGACTACATATGATCATTGGTACCCAGTTCTAGTCTGTGTTGTCAGGCATATTGATTCTGCTACTGTTCTGTTTGGTTCGCCTTATGGTTTCGTAATGGTTGATCAGGATTTAAACCGTTGTCGATAGCGTACACGGATTCTAATCTTGAAACTGTCCAGTTTAGGCGCTTCAAAATCTCCTCTTGCCCGTCGTGGTATCGCTCCTGACCGACGCGCTCGCGATCTTCTAAGATTAACGAAGTTGTCCTGGTCAGTTCTTCCAGGTTTGAAGTTAACAAAGAAAGAGAACGTTTCAACTCTCCGTGAGATCGTTTGAGCATGTCCAAATCATCCAACACCGAATCAAATTCACTTCGTTCAAGTTTGCCAAACTTCTTGCCGCCAAAGCGCTTGGTGACAATGTTGTGAATTTCAGAAACCTTTTCGCCCTGTTTTCGGGTTTGTTCTTCTTCTTCTGAGAGCACTGCGATATAGTCAGTTTCCTCGGGACTGTAGTTCGTACTTATGTACTCTCTATAGCGCCTCCGTTTCGTCGCTGACGCGTCCAGCTCCAAATCTTGAAGAAGCCGAGCCCGCTGTATGGCAGCAGTGGCTCGCGCGTTGTCGTAAACCCGCTGGAACGTGTTCGACAAAAGCGCAATGTAAAGATTCATTAAAACAATAGCAGCAATGATGATGAAAGAACCACAAAGAAAACGTGTCATGTAAGGGGCAGCTTTTTCCAAGCCCGTAAAATTATAGTCATCTAGCAAGGGAATACGGATCATCGTGTAAATTAAGCTTGTTGTGCTGTTGTATCCCTTCACCGGGATTTGTGACTGTGGACCGAACATGATCCAAAATGCAGCCGCGTAAGGAATGTAGAACATCGAAATCACAAACAACCACTTTGCACTATCTAAAATGATATGGTCGAGCATCACGACAAAGGGTCCCTGACTGGGGAAGGGCCGGGCATACTTGAGCAAACGAAGCCAGACAGGAATCACTGTGCATGACAAAATGCGAACGAAGACATCATTGTACAGATTATCATCGACCCACAGGTTTATCATGTGGAGAATAATAACTACCATCAGCATGGCATAGGTGATCCAGTCGATATAGTTCCATGCGTCTGAGAAATAAGTCCGCTTATTCTCTTTGTCCAGTTTAATCCGCCGCATCTCTTGTTCGACGAACGTTCTTTCTTGAGGCCAACGCGGGTGGCAAAATGCCAAATCACGTTCCACCTCTTTCTTTCTCCATTTTATGAATTTACTGGATTGTTTTTTGGATCGGTAGTATTCCTTCACCTCGTTTCTGATTTCATTGAATGTTATAACAACAAACACAACTTCGATTACTATCTTCCACCAATTTTTAGTAAGAGGTGAATAAAACTTGTTTACTTCTTGAGGGACGGAGCATGCCAAGATGGTGTAAAAAATGGCCATCAACACGTTGGGAAGAATATCTAGCCATGCTTCAAGTCGAAAATATCTCCATTTTACATCAATGAGGCGTTGGAAGATCGGATGCATTATAAGTTCCAGACAGTTTGATTGAGAGGCAGCTTGTAAGGGTGAGGGAGCGGAAGTTTTGCCGTCGTCGGTTTCCAAGAAATTCAGATAAAAATTTTGTTTACGATGAATTCTGTCAACTGAATGGAACTGATCAAGAGCTTTGTAAGCCTGTGGATGAAAAATAACACAAGAAACTGTTTTCTTTTCTTTCTTACAATTCCCTGCGATTCCTTAGTTTTAATCGTCTCGATTTAATTCTTAGTCGTTATTTAACCTACCACAACAGGCATCTTGGAAATAAGAAGGGCAAGTGCAGACATTCCACTGTTGTCTTTTACGCCAGCCGAGGCTCCTCCGTCCAAAAGTACCCTTGTTGCCTCGGCACTGTTGTGCTCTGCGGCGACCTGATGATGGAAAAACAAATTTTGAGTTCTTCGGTGATCTACAAATTGATCAAGGGCGTTTCTTTGTAGAGAGCATTAAGATTCTTAATTATGTTAATAATAAATTGCAGCTCATAAATTTACTCCTGAACAAGTTAATTATGTACTTATATGATACAAAGAATGGGAGGAGATCTTAGCAAACTCTATTTGAGCTTTTCTAGGAAGATGCGGATCCGCAAAGCCTCTAAGCAAAGCTTCCCTTCACTCCCAGCGGTTTATTTTTGTTCTGCCATGCTTTAGGTTCAAAAAATGACAATTAAAAGCAACAANAGTCAGTCAGTCAGTCAGCCAGTGATCCAATTGCTCTGTATAATGACTCCTTTCATTTATTTCATTTACCTGTAGGTTCTTTGAACTGTAAACAGCAGTCACTGTTATGGCATAATTACTACAGAAACATTCATCAGGTTAGTTACTAATCATGTGCTGAGATCATGGTCTTTTCAAACCCAACTTAAACGGCACAAGCTATACATTGAGTGTTTTGAGAAGTGCATTCAATAATACACAGAAAATGGTGCTTCAATACACACTGAGTTTGCTTTGCTGATAAACAACATTAGGTATAGAACATGTAGCTCCCTTGGAGAGAGGTACTTGATTCTGAGTGGCCGTGGAGGGTTGGAATAAGGAGAAGTAGCAGTGGCATTAACGCTTTAAACCTTCGAATTACGCCCTAGCCAGTTTCCATTATAGTTAATTTAAATATTATAGCACCACTGAATACTCTGTTTCGTGTCAAAGTTGGTATTTTACTGAGTTGATATGAGAAATCTTTCTGCTTCATGATCATGATGATAGCACTAATAGTGTGCAGTCCATGTTTGTCCATATTTAAGGAGCAGTCAAACTTTCAGATTTCGCTTAGCAACGCTTCAGTATACATCTCTTTTTCACATATGGTACCGTGTAGTGTCCCTGACCGGATGCATCACTTTTTACTCGCAAGAAACGTTTTAAAAGCTGTAATTATCATGTACAGTATGTGTTCATTTCGTGATTAATAAATGTCAGTGATGTTGTCTGTTAGGTTGGCAATGTAACATGGTCAAGTAAGCTGTTTAAAAAAGCCAGGACATGGGCGGTTTATTTGGCCAATAACAATCTATTTATCCACGAAAAAGATGATCCTGGAAATCTTTTCCTGTCTGCAGGAAAACCTAAAGAACCATGCGCCAGGGCTGTCCAGCTATTTTACACTGAGGAGAAAAACTACGATTACAAGACGCCGGAGGTCTTTAATGGTGCCGGGCACTTCACTCAGGTAGAATTTAAGGGTTTTCTGTAACTTTATTTTTGCATGATGTTGTAGCTTTAGATACCCAAGCAGTAACCAATCACCTCAGTCATGTTCAAAAGTGTATCTCCTTCTTTCTAAAGAAGACAATGGTTGCTGCATAACATCACGCACCTCCTCTTTTAGCGATTCATTCTCTAGTGTAGCCTGTCACGCGGAAATTTTTTCCTGCGTTCTTCCCCATTGTAAGAAAGAAAGAGTGACAAGCCAATCGAATGTTGCAATAAGAGGCTGTCTCCAGCTCAGCTCCATATTTTTGTGTCTGTTCCTTACTTACTCATCTTATAGCCTTACTGCGGCTGCTTCTTACTGCGGCTACTTCTTCTTCTTTTCTTCGCCCCATTCTCGACTAGAGTCTGTTCACAGCCTACTCATCTTAAGGCCGATCTAGCTTATACAACTTTGCGGCATGCGACTTTTGTTTGCGTTGCTTACGTCGTGCAGTAGACTTTCTCGCTCAAAGTCCTTTTGTTGTTGTAGACAGTCCAATTACGCCCCTTGTCCTCACAGTCTTGCCCCCCGGAGTCAGGTTTTGAGTGTCGCAGAACTGATATGTATCTCGTTCTGAGCTAGTCTAGGCATGCAATAGCTAAACAACTTTCCAATCTCGTTCCCAGAGGGCGCGCTCCCTTTTGCTAGTATAAAGAAATCTAGACCTCTGGGAGAAATCAGGCAAGCCAGCATTAGTTACAGCGGTTACTCTCTCTATGCATATTGGTAGACCGATATAGAACTTAATCACACGCGCGCAATCAAACCGAAAACAATATTTTCTGGTTCCGGTTTTGGATTTCTTCCAGAGCGTCGCGCGTTCGGTCATCACTGCCCGAAAACGTGCGAACTTTAGGATTGACTTTCATCGAACATCTTCCGAGCACTCCGTGAGGCTACGATTGTCGTGGGGTCTGTAATAAAACATGTTTTAAATTCCTAAAACATTTTGCGTGGGTATATATTACAAGGGCGATAATCGCATGCAAGTTGCAAGTTCGATTTATACAAAACAATTTATGAGTTGATTCTAAATCGGTCCTTTCGGCTACCAGATTAACAGTGACATGGTTTTTTGTTTCTTTATAGGTTGTTTGGAAAAACACGAAGGAAATTGGCGCATTCAGCAAAGAAAGAAACGACGGTAAAACTGTCGTGGTGGTCAAATATTCTCCCCCTGGAAACGTCCAGGGTTATTTCGCTAAAAACGTCTTCCCTCCGAGAAAGCCGACAACAGTGACAAGACCTACGATTACAAAAACTGATAACTCGACGGTCACTACCCTTACTTCACCGGGACCGAAACCAGACGTTAGAGCAGGTGCCATGAGTGTAAAAGGCAGGAGAGGGATACATTTTGTTATGCAGTTCGGACTCTTAGGTTTTTTGATTATTAAGACACTTTACGTGGATTGAAACGTGAAATAACATTCCAAGTTTTAGCAAGCGGAAGGTTCTAACCTTGTGAGAAAAAAGCTTTGATATTCAACTCGTAACAATTCTAAACTGATGATGACTCTACTGTCTCTAATTAACTAATTGTTGCTCAGCTTTGAATAAATAGCAGTATTTAGAGAAGAAGCCACATCAGCCCCAGCTGGTTTTCACGCGGATCCTCTATCCTGGTTGAATTCAATTGGGAGTGTTGGTTTTTGTGAGGGAGGAAAACCGGAGAACCCGGAGAAAAACCCTCGGAGTAACGATAGAACCAGCAACAAACTCAACACACATATGGCACCGAGCCGGAATCGAACCCGGGCCACATTGTTGGGAGGCGAGCGCTCTCACCACTGCGCTATCCCTGCTCCCCAATTTTCGTGCGCAACGATTTACAGCCAATAGAGCGACCCACGCAGATAGCCACAGAGCTATATCATCATTATATGAATTTGGGTCAAATCTCACTCAAACGTCTCGCTAGCGGGAAAGGGAAATGGGTAATGGGCCTATGAAAAGAGACATCTGTCTTCTAAGGTTGTACTGAACATATCCCACTTTCTAGTTTAAATAGATTAAGAGAAATTTTGTAACAAAGCGTTTTTCTTTTCATTCCTTAATAAAGTATTGTAATACTATCATCGCGTTCCCCAACTACGTCGATTTTTGATGCTGGGGCAAATACGATGTCATCATTTCACTACGTACTATGTACCGTAAAACCCAAAACTTAAACTATTCTGTACTTCGCTGTCAAGGACAATAAGCTACAATTGGAAACCCTTGGCCCTCAGTATACCTAAAACCTCTGGCGGACTGAGATAAATCAACTGATTTAAGATTAAAATAAATAATAAATAAAAATAATGGACTCTGTCGAAGTTGACATCATACAGACTTCATCATACTGTACTATTTCTTCGAAAAAATAAGGCACCTAAAATTTAACTTAGATAGTAATTCTGAAGAAGTTGAAATTAATCGCCGAAATTAATAATGAGAAGCTGAACTCGAAAAATTTTAATAATGGTTTTTCATATTTTTGTAGTTGAATAAGAATGCCGATGTGACTACATATGATCATTGGTACCCAGCTCTAGTCTGTGTTGTCAGGCATATTGATTCTGCTACTGTCCTGTTTGGTTCGCCTTATGGTTTCGTAATGGTTGACCAGGATTTAAGCCGTTGTCGATAGCGTACACGGATTCTAATCTTGAAACTGTCCAGTTTAGGCGCTTCAAAATCTCCTCTTGCCCGTCGTGGTATCGCTCCTGACCGACGCGCTCGCGATCTTCTAAGATTAACGAAGTTGTCCTGGTCAGTTCTTCCAGGTTTGAAGTTAACAAAGAAAGAGAACGTTTCAACTCTCCGTGAGATCGTTTGAGCATGTCCAAATCATCCAACACCGAATCAAATTCACTTCGTTCAAGTTTGCCAAACTTCTTGCCGCCAAAGCGCTTGGTGACAATGTTGTGAATTTCAGAAACCTTTTCGCCCTGTTTTCGGGTTTGTTCTTCTTCTTCTGAGAGCACTGCGATATAGTCAGTTTCCTCGGGACTGTAGTTCGTACTTATGTACTCTCTATAGCGCCTCCGTTTCGTCGCTGACGCGTCCAGCTCCAAATCTTGAAGAAGCCGAGCCCGCTGTATGGCAGCAGTGGCTCGCGCGTTGTCGTAAACCCGCTGGAACGTGTTCGACAAAAGCGCAATGTAAAGATTCATTAAAACAATAGCAGCAATGATGATGAAAGAACCACAAAGAAAACGTGACATGTAAGGGGCAGCTTTTTCCAAGCCCGTAAAATTATAGTCATCTAGCAAGGGAATACGGATCATCGTGTAAATTAAGCTTGTTGTGCTGTTGTATCCCTTCACCGGGATTTGTGACTGTGGACCGAACATGATCCAAAATGCAGCCGCGTAAGGAATGTAGAACATCGAAATCACAAACAACCACTTTGCACTATCTAAAATGATATGGTCGAGCATCACGACAAAGGGTCCCTGACTGGGGAAGGGCCGGGCATACTTGAGCAAACGAAGCCAGACAGGAATCACTGTGCATGACAAAATGCGAACGAAGACATCATTGTACAGATTATCATCGACCCACAGGTTTATCATGTGGAGAATAATAACTACCATCAGCATGGCATAGGTGATCCAGTCGATATAGTTCCATGCGTCTGAGAAATAAGTCCGCTTATTCTCTTTGTCCAGTTTAATCCGCCGCATCTCTTGTTCGACGAACGTTCTTTCTTGAGGCCAACGCGGGTGGCAAAATGCCAAATCACGTTCCACCTCTTTCTTTCTCCATTTTATGAATTTACTGGATTGTTTTTTGGATCGGTAGTATTCCTTCACCTCGTTTCTGATTTCATTGAATGTTATAACAACAAACACAACTTCGATTACTATCTTCCACCAATTTTTAGTAAGAGGTGAATAAAACTTGTTTACTTCTTGAGGGACGGAGCATGCCAAGATGGTGTAAAAAATGGCCATCAACACGTTGGGAAGAATATCTAGCCATGCTTCAAGTCGAAAATATCTCCATTTTACATCAATGAGGCGTTGGAAGATCGGATGCATTATAAGTTCCAGACAGTTTGATTGAGAGGCAGCTTGTAAGGGTGAGGGAGCGGAAGTTTTGCCGTCGTCGGTTTCCAAGAAATTCAGATAAAAATTTTGTTTACGATGAATTCTGTCAACTGAATGGAACTGATCAAGAGCTTTGTAAGCCTGTGGATGAAAAATAACACAAGAAACTGTTTTCTTTTCTTTCTTACAATTCCCTGCGATTCCTTAGTTTTAATCGTCTCGATTTAATTCTTAGTCGTTATTTAACCTACCACAACAGGCATCTTGGAAATAAGAAGGGCAAGTGCAGACATTCCACTGTTGTCTTTTACGCCAGCCGAGGCTCCTCCGTCCAAAAGTACCCTTGTTGCCTCGGCACTGTTGTGCTCTGCGGCGACCTGATGATGGAAAAACAAATTTTGAGTTCTTCGGTGATCTACAAATTGATCAAGGGCGTTTCTTTGTAGAGAGCATTAAGATTCTTAATTATGTTAATAATAAATTGCAGCTCATAAATTTACTCCTGAACAAGTTAATTATGTACTTATATGATACAAAGAATGGGAGGAGATCTTAGCAAACTCTATTTGAGCTTTTCTAGGAAGATGCGGATCCGCAAAGCCTCTAAGCAAAGCTTCCCTTCACTCCCAGCGGTTTATTTTTGTTCTGCCATGCTTTAGGTTCAAAAAATGACAATTAAAAGCAACAAATTTTTTTCACAGTATGTATTCTCAAAAACTAAACCAACCTGTAAAGGACTTCGAAGTTTGAAGTCTCTGGCATCGATATCAGCGCCAGACGCCAGCAGAATCTTCACACACTGAACAGCTTCATTCTTTGCGGCATAGTGCAGCGGAGTCTGGCCCTCACCCGCAGAAGTCACGTGAACATTGGCACCATGATCAATAAGAAACCTGACCATCTCTGAATAATCAGCTGAGGCAGCCACGTGCAGCGGTGTTCGGCCATAATCATCCGCTTTGTTCATGTCAGCTCCTGTAAACAAAAGCTTTCTTGTGAAGGTGAATTAATCAACATGACACGAGCGTGGGACAAAGAAAAATTCTGAGTCCCCGACAGGAATCGAACCCATGACCTCCCGAACACCG